CAGATGGAGATAATTTCTATTTCACATCTGCAAGATCTGACTGACCTGTTGAGTAAGAAGAGTCTCTGAAGGCCCCAGGTCTCCAGGCAGGTTTCAGACCCTCCCATCAGTCAGGGCTGGAAGCAACCTCAGAGTGGAGCCTCCTTTATTTTTCACTGCCCTGGGAGGCAGGACAGCTTTTCATTGCAGACCAGCTACTGCGGATGGTTTGCTTCACATGGAACACGTCTTTAAAGGGAATTTCCAAACTGGCAGGCTAAGGCACAGTTCCTGGTGTTTATCACAGAGTTACAGCCACAGGGCACTAAGGACAATATCCCACCTGACTTTTTGCTCTTTCACCAATCTGACTTTCCCAGGTTTGGAAGTGCCTACGCTCTCCTCTCACCACTGTCCATTTCAAGCATTAGCTCGGCCACCATTAGCCCAAGTGCCGGTCTAGCTCGGTTGGTCTGGTAGATTTTGGGCCATCTCTGTTAATATCACCCATTTCACATGGCCTAGGAGTGCCTCTGTGACCAACATCGCCCTTGTAAGATTTTTGTAACAGTCCTGGACAAAAATGTGGTCCTGAGTCTGCCCCCCCAAAGCTGGATCTACCCTCATTTCCCCATTTTGCAACACTGTGAAGGTCTCGTTGCACGTTGTGTTTTGTCTCAGCCCACCACCTTCCCACAGTCAGGTTATTTTATTTCTGCTTCTGAATTCAGATGCATTTTTGCATGGCCTCTGTCGCTCTCGTTTTACATACACTAGGTACGTGTGGCACTCTCTGAAATAGAAAGTTCTCCTTTTTTTCTCTCTGCGTTAGCCACAGAGCTGCAGCTGACAGGACTCCTGGTGACTGACCAACTTCTCACCAGCGTCTGCTTCCTGGCCCAAAGCTCTGCTGCAGCCCATGATTCAAGCACCTTGGCAAATTCCTCTGCCTCTCACAGCGTCTTTGGCTTCCCGTTAAACACAGAGATATCGTTTCTGGCTCAGGAAGTCTCTGCACCGCGGGCCACCGGGACCTGGGAGACTGGCCCAGGGAGCTTTCATTACGTGCATGTTCTGTTCGTCTGCTCCTCCCAAGGCATCTCCCGCTGGACTCTGGGACAGCTGGACCTGTTCTCTGACCCAGCTCAGGTTTTTACACGCTCTCGTTTCATTTTTTCCCCTGGTCTCAATCTGGTCATCCCATAATTGAAGAACTATTAATGGGTCAATGTCCAATTTACCCGGGAAGTCTTCAGTAATACCTTGCTATTCAACCAAAATGATCCAGATCTGTCAGATGAATTCTCTTTGTCCCTCACTTTGTGGTACATGGCTGACCAGCTCGCTCTAACTTGATGGTTGATTCTAGTCGTACAGCCAGCCTAGATAATTCAATCTTTTTTCCTAAAGGCAAGTACTCACTGCCATAAGAGCCAAACCCAGCAAGTTGGCTTATTTCAGAGCTATTCCTTTACACCATGGTTACAGACTGAGTTGAATAAACCTCCCAAATGTATTCTCCTCAAAGACCATGGCTTTTGCACTGATTCAGCTGGGACATAGAGTCTGATTCCTTCCTCCTGCTGACTGAAAATGGTGGCAAGTGTTTGGTAGTAGGCGGTGTTCTGGCTAGCCCTTGTCTACAGCAGGAGGGTGGTTTTTCCTGTGGTGACCTGCAAACCTTTGATTTCCTTTTCTGAGTGATTTTTTTCAGTTTCTTAACTCTTTGCTACAGTTCATCTTGACTTGTAAATTGGCCAAAGCTTTTCTTGTGCCTCTTATTTTCTGGAAAACATTCTTTTTCCATGATAGTCATGCTGCTGATGACCTCTTTGATCCATCTTGCCATTTTAAACTGGGAATCTTCCAGGAGAATTTTGCACTCTCTCTGAACACTGAAGCCTTTTATCCTTGTCTGCAGGTGACCTCTTATAAACCTCTCTTAGAAGTTTCCAGATGTTGCTTGAACTCCTTTTGCAAAGTCTCCAGCTGTCTCAGCTCATGTTTTGCATCTTTTGGTCATTTTCAATTTCCGTTCCCATTTGGTTCCAGAGGAATCCCAGAATTCAGACTTCTCCTAGAAGCGGAGTCTCACTCCAGACATTGTTTCCATAATTTGAAGATTTGCAGGTTGTTCCAGAGAGGATGAAGCTGGCAAAGATGCTCCAGAAATGCTGCAGGTGCTCCACAAGGAGCTGCTCCAGAAATGCTCACCCCCTGCTCCCCACCCCGTGTATCAGTTACAGAAACCATGCAAAGTGCTGCTTTCCTGCCCATGGGAGGAATCAGCTGGAGAAAACCCATGTTTTCTTTCAGAGTTCAAGCTCCCTTTGAGCCGGTGCTGCCCCAAAAGGCCTCCATGTGCTTTACCTCAGGCTTAAGTTCCTTCTTTTATCTGGGGCTGTGCCTCCAGTTTTCCTGATGTTTTCTGAAAGACCACTCCGGGCAGGAGGAGAAGAATTTCATGCTGAAGGTGCTTGTTTCTACTGACTAGCAAGGGAGCCTGTGGCGCCATTTTAGATGTCCAACATGGATGCCTAACTTGGGGCAACCAGTGCCACCCTACATGGCTACCTACTGCCGGCTCACGCTGACACCCAGCAAGTTTCGCTTGCGGTCTGCAGTCGCCCTTCCCGAGGGAGCGGGCCTATATAGTCCAGCCTATGGAACAGTTTGCTTTCCTCCCCAGCAGCAGATTCTCCCCAAAAACCTCCGTAGCAGTCCGCAAGCCTCTCCTTCTGACACCCCCAAATAGAACCTATAGGCATGTGGCATACATTTACGTTGTTTATTTTTAGCCCCTAGTTTAGTTGCACTGACAGTGAGAAAATGTCATCAGGTTAACAGGGAAGGAGCTATATAATCCTGCAGTGCCACTTGCTCGCCTGCCAAGCGGGAGCCTCTAACACCTCATCAGAACCTTCACTGATCCTAAAACCTCATTCACACTTTACATACGGGCGGTGTGGTTCCAGCAGCCCCTCTGCATACAAAAATCACGAGTTACCCTCCTGATAAGATTACCTGTAAAGCACGATCACAAAGGAATGATTTGAGGCTTTTGTGTCTTTTTTTTTTTTTTTTTTTGGGGGGGGGGGAGAGGGAGGAGGAGTGGGAGCTTTCTGTTTATTGGGGTAATTTCCTCCCAGCTACTGTGGGAGCTCGAAACTACCCCTTCCCTCAGAGTGTGCCGGGGCCGGGGGTCCCGCGACTCCGGGAGCCGGCGCCTGCGGGAGGGCAGGAGGAACGCTGAGCCGAACGAACGGCAGGCGGTCAGGGCTGGCGGCGGGGGCGGGGGATAAACACAGCACTATGGATCGCCCCTGCTGACGCTTCCCGCCTCCGGTTCCCGCCGGGAATACCGGAGAGAAAGCCGCCAGCCCGGCCCGGCGTCGGGGGAAAAAAAGGGGGGTGGGGTGGGGTGGGGTGTGTGTGTGGGGGGGGGTTGGTCCTCTCCTCCCCACGCACAGCACGTGGGGACGGGGCCGCTGCACACCCCGCACGTTCCAGGGCCTCACATGCCGCGCCGGCGTGGCCACGCCGGGACACACACGCAGGGACACGCACACGCAGGGACACGCACGCAGGCACGCACACACAGCGCCTCAGCCCGGGGCACGGGGAAGAGCACCCCATTTCCTCGGGGCACCGGCACCCCCCCCGCTCCCCCCTACGCTGGCAGGGGAGGGGGGTGCGTGTGTGTGTGTGGGGGGGGGGGGTGCGTGGCTACCCGCTGCCCGCGGCTGGCAAGTCACGGCGGCCCGTAGCCCGAGCTGGGGGGTGCCCGGTGCCTCCGGGTGCCGGCGCCGGCTGGCGGGGGGTGGGGAACGGCGGGGGGGGGGGGGCGACGGGGCAGGGCCGGCCGGTGGTGCCGGCGGCAGTGATGTGGCAGCAGGTCGGGTCACGTTGCCGGCCCTGTGCTCGTACCAGTGTGAGACGGGAGGAGGGAAGCGGCTGCCGGTGCCGCCGCCGCCGGCAGGGAGCGGGGGCTGCGCGGCCGCGCCCGGCGCGCAGGGGCGGGGAGGGGGGGGGGGGTGTGTGGGGTGGGAGGGGGGGGGTGTGGGTGGGTGGGAGGGGGCGGGGGGGTGTTCCCGCCCCGCCCCGTCCCGGGGCTGCCGCGGCCGGTGAGACAGCAGCGATGCAAATCCTCTCGCAATGTCACACGCACCCCCCACCTTCCGCCCCGCGGGGATGCGGGCTGCCCGTTGGGGGGTGGGGGGTGGGGGTGGGGGGGGGTGGGCAGCGTCAGAATGGTTTCTATCATAGGGATGAGTGTTTTTCTATAGCTGTGCGTATATATATGTATATATGTGCATATCGCTATATGGCCGTAGGTATATAAGAAAGGATTTCGCCGCGGCAGGCGGATCCGGCTCCCGTCCAAAGGTCGGGCGGGATCACCGGGAAGGGGGGGGGGGGGGGGGGGGGGGGGGGGGTTGCGGCACGGCGGCGCCGAGCCGGGGGAGCGCCCCGGGACTGCCGCTGCCGCGGACACACGCGTGTGCGCGCGCGTCCGGGCCCACGCATCCGTGAAAGTATCTAAAGCGCACGCCAAACGTAAATCCCTCCGAGCCGGGGAGAAGGGGCTCGATCTCCCGGTTGGGAGCGTTTTAGCACGGGTCGGTCTCGTCTCCAAAGACCAAAAAAAAAAAAAAAAAATATTAAAAAAAAAATGTAATAAGAATAAAATTATACTAAAACACTAAAATTATAACGATGGCATTATAAAAATAATAAAAGTAGAGCGATGCCGGCACTACTAATTCCGGCAAGAACAATGAGGGCGATAGCGGCAGCCACACCGGGGAAAGCCGCTGTCTCGCAGGGGCGGCCCCGGGGTCGGCGGCGGGGACCCCCCCCGCCCCCCCGGCTTTCTCCCGCCCCCACAACCTCCACGCGGAGGCCACTCCCCCCCCCCCCCCGCATTCCTAGGCCCCGCCCACGTCCCCGCCCCCTTCCCCCCCCTCGCCCCGCCCGCCCGGCGCGCGCCGCACGTGAGCCGGGTGCGGGGCTGGCTGGCGGCGCGCGTGCCCCGCGGGCAGGCGGGTGCGAAGTGGCGGCGGCGGCGCCGCGTGCGTGAGCGCGGGGAGCGAGGCGGGGGGGGGGTGGGACGGACACACGGACACAGACACACACACACGGGTTTTGGCGGGGGGGTGGGGGGGGGGGGCACCGGGCGCCACACACACACACACACACACAGAGACACGCGCGCGCAGGCAGGCACAGCGACACGGAGCGCCGCACACACTTTGGGCGCTGCGCGGGGAGACCGTGGGGCGGGGGGGGGGGGGGGGGGGGAGGGCCGGAGGCTGCATGTGCGCAGCGCCGGCCGCGGATCTCCGAAGACTGATCTCGGCGTCCCGCAGGCTCCGTCAAAAGCAGCGACGAAACATCAGCCGCTGCCAGACATGGATGAAGGAATCTCCCGTCTGCCGGAGAGGCAGCTACTGGAGCACAGGGATTTTATAGGGTAAGGCGACCGGGCAGCGTCCCCGTCTCGTCTCTCTGCGGCGTTTCGCCTCCCGGAGAAAGTGCTGCTGGAAGCGGCGCCGAGTCCCCGGCGGTGCCGGGGCTCGCCTCCCGCCGCGGGCGGACCCGGGCAAAGCGCTCGGCTCCCCGCCCGGCGCTCGGGGTCCGTTCGCCCACTCGAGGAGGTGCCGGGCTGGCCCCTCGCCGATGCCGGATCTCTGTGTTTCTCCTGCAGGCTGGACTACCCTTCCCTGTATATGTGCAAACCCAAAAGAGGCGTGAAGAGGGACGAGAGCAAGGTAAGAGTAAGTTTCTGGGGCTCTTCTCGCTTAAGCGCTCAACTGGGGTTCGCTGAATTTTTTGCTCCCGAGAGCATCCCCGCGGGGTGGTGGTGGTGGCGGGGGGGTGGGCTGCGCTTTCAACTTCTCCCCCGAATTGCAAGCGGGTTTACGAGCGAGCTGGCACGGCGGGGAGAGCGGTGCCTTTGGCGAGAATTGGCGCGGCATGTGGTCGGCATGACATTTGTTTTGGTTTTGATCGCCGTTCCGAGGGACTCTGCCTAACGCTTGGCTTCCCCGGATTTTGCTCCTTAGGAAACGTACAAACTGCCGCACAGGCTGATAGAGAAGAAGAGGCGAGACAGGATTAACGAGTGCATCGCCCAGCTGAAGGATTTGCTGCCCGAGCATCTGAAGTTGACGGTAAGGTGCAGAGGGGCGTTTCTGTGGGGGCAGATGCGGGCGCCGGCAGCCTGCCCGCTGGCGCAGCCCCCGGGGCGGCGGGGACCGGGACGCCCGGCTGCGGCCCCGGCCGTAACGCCCCGCGGGGCCGAGTTTCCCCGAAGTTACGGAGGCGGCGTTTGGCGGTGGTGGCCAAAGCGTGCAGGGAGGTAGCCGAACGAGCCGCCCCCCCCCCCCCCCCCCCCTCCACCGCCTTCTCCCCTTTGCAGACGCTGGGACACCTGGAGAAAGCGGTGGTGCTGGAACTGACTTTGAAACACTTGAAAGCGCTGACCGCCTTAACGGAGCAGCAGCACCAGAAGATCATCGCTTTGCAGAACGGTGAGCAGGCCCCGGGGGGCGCCGCCGCGGGGCTGCACCGGCGGCGAACGGGGGGCGGGGGGGGGGGGGGGGAGTTTGGGAGGAAGGCGCCGAACGGTGCGAGCCCACGCCGGGGAGCCGCGGACAAACGCTGTCCCCTCTCGGTGTCCCCCGCAGGGGAGCGGTCCATGAAGTCCCCCGTGCAGGCCGACCTGGACGCCTTCCACTCGGGCTTTCAGACGTGCGCCAAGGAAGTGCTGCAGTACCTCTCCCGCTTCGAGAGCTGGACCCCACGCGAGCAGCGATGCGCCCAGCTCCTCGGCCACCTGCACTCCATCTCCTCGCAGTTCCTCCCCGGCCCCCAGCTCCTCTCCCCGCCGCCGGGCCCCCTCAGCAAGGGATCCTCCTCCTCTTCCTCCCCGCCTGCCCCCCCCTGTGCGCCGGGCCACAAGCCGGAGGGCCAGGCTAACTGCGTGCCCGTCATCCAGCGGACTCACGCCGCCGAGCTCAGCGCCGAGACCGACACGGACACGGACAGCGGCTACGGCGGGGAGGGCGAGGCGCGATCCGAGCGCGGCCCCACGGCGGCCCCGGCCCCGGCGCTGCCCGCCCTGGCCATCAAGCAGGAGCCGTCGGGAGACGACGCGCCCCCCGCGCCCAAACGGCTGAAGCTGGACCGCGGCGGCAGCCCCCTGCCCGCCCCGCCGGGGCTGCCGGTGCGGGGCGCCGAGGCGGCGGCGGCGGCGGCGGCGGCGCTGGTGAGACCCGACGCCGCCCTGCTGGGCTCGCTGATGGCCCTGGGGGCGGGCGGCGGCGGGGCCCCCTTCGGACAGCCGCCGGCGGCCGCCCCTTTCTGCCTGCCCTTCTACTTCATCTCCCCCTCCGCCGCCGCCGCCTACATGCAGCCCTTCCTGGATAAAGGCAGCCTGGAGAAGTACCTCTACCCCGCCGCCCCCATCCCGCTCCTCTACCCGGGCATCCCGGCCCAGGCGGCCGCCGCCGCCGCCGCCGCCGCCGCCTCCTTCCCCTGCCTCTCCTCCGTGCTCGGCCCCGCCGAGAAGGCGGCCGCCGCCGCCGCCGCCGGGCTGCCCCCGGCGCCCCACCTCCCGCACCCCTTCGCTGCCGCCGCCGAGCCCGGCGAGGAGGCCGAAACCGCAGCCGCCGAGGAGCCCGGTGCCGAGGGCCCGTGAGCCGCCGGCCGGCCGGGAGCCCCCCCCGCGGGTTCCCCGCTGCGGGGCGGGGAAGGGCCGTCGGGGCCGGCACCTGCGCCCCCGTTTTCCTACGGAGGGCAGGGCGGCGGCTGCAAGGGGGGCGCCGGGACCGGGACACCGGGGTCGGGGCCGGGGCGGGGCCCGGTCCCGGGGAGCCCCGCGCCCCGCTGCCGAGGCGGCTGGTCCCGACGCTGCCCCCCGCAGAGGACCGTCAAGGATAAAATTTGCTACTCAGTATTTTTTTAATGTTTGGCTTTATAAATGCATAAATATGTTAAGGAAAAAGAAAAAAAAAAAAAGGAAGAAAAAATAGTAAGGATACTTTTTTTTTTTTTTTTCTTCTCTATAAGGTAACTTAAATGTTGCACCTTATTTGGAATGGGTTTCTATAGCGTCCCTAAGCCCCACTTAGGAACTTGCACTTGTTGGCCAGGAGACCCGGGGGGGGTTCAGGGTGCGGGCGGGGGGCAAGGCGGGGAAGGGGGGCACACCCCGGCACCTGTGCTAGCACTTTACTGAGAACCCGAGCGTGGAGGGATGCACCCTGTGCCCAAACCTGCAGTGCCTTGAGCACCTGGGGATGCCGCTGGCTCCAGTGAGTTTTGGGTGTGCAAGGGAAGGAGGGTCAGACCCATTATGTAATACTGTGTTTAATTTTTTTTTTTTTTTTTTTGGCTAAGGTATACAGATGTGGCAAGTGCATTTGTTCTCACCCTGTCTTTATTTAATTCTGTATGTTCCCGAGAGATTTTTTTCCCCAAACCTTGCTGTATAAAATGAATGTTTCTGCACTGAACTATGAGAAGAAACCCCTCCCCTCTCTCCCCCAAGAAAACACAGAGCAACTGGTCAGCCTGAACCCATTTTATCCTCAGTCCCGAATGACACAAACCGGAGGCCGTAGGTAAACACCTCGCTGTGCGATCAGAAACGATTAGACCGGTCGGGGTAAGTTTCCCATACGGGTTCTCCCCTCATCCCATGCTCAAATAGTGCGATTTCCCTTTCTGGAGACAAACCAGACGCCAGATAATCACACAGATAAAGCTTTTCTAATAAGGCTTAAACCAAGACCTTGCCTAGATATTTTTAGTTTGTTGCCAAGGTAGCACTGTGAGAAATCTCACTTGAATGTTATGTAAGAGGTGAGACACAACAGCCTGGTGAGGAGCAAGTGAGCGAGCGAGTACCTATCCGGGGTCTGTCAGTCCGTTCGGTGCATCTGCTGCTGCTGTTGCTACTGTTTGCCTCAAACGCTGTGTTTAAACAACGTTAAAAAAAAAAAAAAAACACAACAAAAAAAAACAACAAAAAAATCTTACTAGCCTACAAAGTGGCTGTATGTAAATAGTTGTTAATACATCCAATTAATGATGTCTGACATGCTATTTTTGTAGGGAGAAAATATGTGTTAATGATATTTTGAGTTAAATATCTTTTGGGAGGATTTGCTGAAAAAGTTGCACTTTTGTTACGATGCTTATGCTTGATACAAGCTTATGCTGTCTTAAATTATTAAAAAAAAATAAATCCTGTCTGCAAGAAACCAGCTGTTTTAGAACAGTTTAGTATGTGATATATTAGAAATCGATCTTTATATTCAGTATTTTCCAGCACTCCATGAATTCTATTATCTAAATATTTCCACACTATTTTGTGATTAAAAAAATTCTTACTAAGGAATAAAAACTTTAATACGCAAAGTGGGGTTGTCTACTAATTAAAAATCTTAAGATAATACATAATAATGGGTGCACTGAGCTTCAAAATGTATGACTGTGTGACCGACGATAATCATTTAATGCCTTTTCACATTTTTAATCTGGGTTTGAGTGTGCTTGGCTTCCTTTAACTCACTTTAGCAAACTCTTTCGAGATAGGCACGTTTCACAAAGCAAAGTGTAATCCGTGCATGTGGAACATACAGGTTTCTTCCTGACACCTACTTTTTTTCCTCCTCTGCAATATGCTAATCTTTAACACTTCACAGCCCCGGTGCTGCAGGGGAGCTACCTTTGGTCATGGTGAGCAAACTTTCCCATTTGTGTGACAATCTAATGACGTATCATAATCTCTGGAGGAATGATGTATTTCCCAGCTTGGAAATCCTCTAAGAAAACCAAATGTGTGGCGGGGGGGGGAGAAGAGCAGGAGGGGGAATAGAGTTGTGGAAACAGGCATGGCATGGAAAATTCATGGCATGGAAATGCAGCACCCTAAAGACTTCCACAGATTTAATATTTCAGCCTCACATCACCTTTTCTTTCAAAAATTCTTCCTGTTCCAGAGAAATTAAATTAAGGAAACTTTCAAACAGTAGCCAGTGTTTATGTAAGTGAGAAATACAAAGGAAACGTTTCGTGCTCCCTCTACTGGTTCTTCAATACCGATGAATCTGTACTCATAGCTACACCGACAATGAAGTTGGAACGCGAATGTAACAGAAAACTCTTCAGAGCCGTGTTGATTCCAGCAGTCCTTTGAAATCTAGGAGGAATTATAAATTGGGTGAAAAATAAGCACTCCTTTTACACCGCTCAAGTGGGGGTGTTAAAAAAGATTAAGATTGTACACATCTTTTCACATGGAAGCTATGGTAGAATTAATTCCTATTAGAAAGAGATGTAGGAAGGTTATCTGTACAAATAGAAGTGCTTTTTCCACACAGTGATGGTGATGGACCAAAGGCCGCTACATTGCATCAGTATAGCTGCTGAAGTCAATTATTTGTGGGCTGAAGTCAGAGCTTATCAAAGGTAATGGAAAAAACGGCCTCTGACTTCAGTCATCTTCAGCTCCTGTTCTGCGCCTTCCGTTATCACAGGAACGAAAGGGAACCAGGTTCAACCCTTCCACTCGGTAACTCGCCAGCCGCTTTACTTTGACCTGCACGCTTAAACAGCTTAACACGGGTTGTGTGGCCAGAGTTACACCGGGACGAACATGCTCATACACTCCAACCCCCTCACACCAGGGAGGGAATCGGCCTTACTGAGCAGAAAACCTTTCCTGCCGTTTTACTATATGCACAGAAAGGGTGGAGACACAAGCGCTTTTCCAAAAAATCATACCCCCCCATGAACAGCTTGGGTAGTCTGAAACCTGAGCGTGGGCCAGGGTCTATGTCTTTTTCAAATTTCCAGCCTTCGGGAATACGGATCGGTTTAGATTTCACTGGGCTATAAACCCAGATCCTTATAGGGTTTTATCAATTTCAGTATTTACCATGTACAATAACAGGAAGGCTTATTTTTACAAGCCCTTGAATCAAGTGTGCCAAATGACTTCACGCCGACTTGCAGCATCAGTGGAGTCTATTAAATTTTATTATATAAAACATAAAGGCAAAATATGTGTGTTCAGGTAATACCGATGTTTAACAAAAGCAAACAGGTGAAAAAAAGCTTTGTAATTGAGGCTGATAATCCACTGCTGCTGGAGGCAAAAGGCAAATAACAGGAGGGACCCTAGTGTCAGCTTTAATTATTAAATTCCGGGCTTCCTCGGATCCCTTTGGAGCCTAAGTCAAATTGTATGCTTTGTACTTTCTCGAGGTTAAAAAAATCATAAAAACACTGGACCAGAGCCTGACAGGTTTAAATATACGTTCACTTAATGTGCAAATATGTATTATCAATGCTTGTTATTTCCTATCTACTTTGTATAACAGGATGATATATGGGCTCTCATCTGCACTTCCCCAGTGCTAGGAGTGCAGGATTGGGTGTTACATTTATTGTATACATTTGAGTACATACTCTGTTTTCTCATAAACCACAAGATAAGGGATGTAAGCTTGTAAATGTATTTTCTTAAGCAATAAACTTTGAAAACAGGTCTTATTTATCCAGTATATTATAGTGGCATGAAAGGCTCCATTATAGTGTGTTAAATAAACATGGTTGAGATCGTTAAGCCAATGGAAGGTAATATCATGTACCTCCTACTGAAGGTCATGAAAGTTTTATGTTTGGAAGGATTACAGTTATAGAACTCAAACTGACTATTAGCCCTGTTTAAGAAAGGCCTGACCTACCAACTAAGTCAATAAGAGTCCTTTTCTCAAGCATAGTGGGCTTTGGAGTAGGCCCTAAGACTATGTTTTGGGGCTTACTTGTTTAATTTTCACTTCTAGACAGGGCAGACAGAATGCCTTTGACATCCAGCAAGCCTGGGGACTGGGTGCAATGTATGTTTTGGTACCGGTAAATTTACAGTTTGCTCTGTACCCTGGGTGTCACAAGGTATTTCCTTTTCCCTTCAATCATCAGCTCCCGGAGTCATGTGACCTCCGCCACCTTTGAGAAGTTTCCTGCCTGCTAGTTGCAGAAATGAATGTGCAAGTGTGACCTCAAAGAAAGAAAATAACAAAAAAGCCAAATTTCCTCTCCACAAAAAAACCCACAACCAAACAACAACAACAACCAAAAAAAAAAAACAAAAACAAAAAACAAAAACAAAACACCCACTTGGATTTTTTAGAGCTAGTTTCACTCGAGAAATTCCAAATCTCTATTTACTATCTCTGGTTACACTGCAGTCTTGGTACCTCACTGTGAAGCAGCAGAGAGAAGCCAGCGGCTCACCTGCCACTAGCAGTGGCCATGCAAGTCCTGGACACGTGCGGGCTGGGCATGAGCAAGGGTGAGCTGCCACTGTCACTTCACTCTCTGCGTCCTTCCTGTGGCTACAGCACTTCAGTCGCCAGGGCTGTCAATCCATCACAAACACTAAACTCATCGCCGCCTCGATTACGGCGGTGCCGCGGGCTGCCAGGGGCTGCCCTGCCCCAGGCCGAGCAGCAGAAGCTGTTCTGCCTCATTGAATTCACGGGGCACCCGGTGGCAACACCCCTGCTGCTGCCCTTTCCTGGGGTGCAAGGATATCTCTTCCTGCCTGGCGCTCCTGCTGCGCCCCAGAGGAGGCAGGTCACGCCTGGGATGGGTGGGAAGGTGTGACCTTGTGTTTCGGGAAGCAGGGACTGCGATCCCAGGCACCTCTACTGGGCCACAGGGGCCGGGGAGAGTTCTTTCTCCTGCTTCTATACAGGCATGTTGTTTGAGTTTTGGGGGGTTTTCTTTTTTTTTTTTTTAATATATATTTTTAAAGCTGTTTCCCTGTCCTCACTTGTCCTGTTTTAGTTTAAACGCACGTGTACTGATTTTCACTACCCTTTACAGATTTTTGACCTCAGGTGAGATCTTCCAGGATCAAATTAGAAATGCAGATTTGTTCCTTATTAGAAGCACATCCCCATTCCCTTCCCCCTCAGAGTTTATCACAGTGAGGTGCTTCATCTAACAGAAACTACATGATATGGACTAGCGCAAATCTTTGACAAGCCTTTTAGGAACTGGACCCCTTGATCCACTGGTATCAGCAGTTCTGTGAATGCGGACATCCGCTGGGTATTGCTGCCTGCATAACTGCAGCCCTGCAGCCCCAGAAGGGAAGCTACTCCTAAATTCATCATGCTTGTTTTGCTCTCAGAACTCAAATGTGAGTCTAGCTCTCATTCTAAAATACTTTCATCCAGACCAAAACCTGGAGAACCAGTTACCAAAAGAGAAACCCTTGTGGCCAAGTCACTCTCACAACTGAGCAATTTCTAAAGAACCACCCCAGGAAAAGAGCTATGTAAATATGGCATCTTCTTACTCAGCAGAAAATTGGCTCCACAACTGTGTTTGGAGTAATACCTGCACTACAGAGCCAACTGAACTGACAGATACTGAAGTGGATTGTATTCTCACTGTACTTTATCAACAAAATTCCTAAGGCTGGAGCCCTGCAGTTGGTGGCAGGCAGGCACACAGCTTTGCTTACACGTAACGCTGTTTGCAAAGACGCCCATCTACACGGCAGCAGCAGTCCACCTGCACAGTCCTAGTTTAGCATTAAAGGCTTCAGACTTAGTTAGAGCCCACTGAATTGCCTTCGGGTTTTGGATCCTGTGAGTAGTGACCCTGATTAGTATTTCTGTGGTGTGGAGATCACAGTTGCCAGGAGAGGTTGCAAAACTGGGCCCTAGGTTCCAGCTGCAGGACCTACTTTTCTCCTTGGCTGGAATACGAGTATCTCCACCAAAAACAAATGGGAACAATCATAAACCACCGAGGGCAGACTCTGTAACAATACAGCAGCCCAAGCTGAAAAAAAAAAAAAAAAAAAAAGCTTTTCTTGGCAGCAATATCTCCAACTGTGGTTGCAGGACTAGCACTCAGAGAAACAGAATGTCTTTTTTTAATATACAAGTTGAATTCTTTTATTCTGCAAGTGACTAAAAAGATGAAAAGAATGGCCCTCCCAAAGATGAAAAATCTTTCATGCTATGCTTGAAGAGACTTAGCTAATCTGCGCTTGTGCACCAGAGGTGAAGCAGCACAGCGGCACCTCGGCGTGCGTTGCTGGCCGCGCACCTACCTCTGGGTTTGAAAGCCCGTGCCTGGGCACACGCCTGGTGCTGGACAGCAGTTCAGCGAGACGCAGGCGCGGAACCTGAGGGGGAAAAAAGGTCATTTAGGCCACTTTGTCGGAGAAACCGCCTAGCATTCCCTTTAGCGTTCTGCACAGGCACCCCGAGAGCGGGCGGCCGCTGGGTTTGCCGCGGAAGGACGGGATCAGCCCTGCCACCGCGACCAGGGCCGCCTCTGGGCCCCACCACGGGTTCCGCGGGACCGCACGGAGAGCCGCCTCGGCCGGC